AGAAGAGAAGACTAACAAGACTACTCTTCCTTAAAAGGGTTAAGAGTGCTCACTGAAGTGTTAAATGGTAGTTATGTCTGTAATTACCAAGGGAGTAGGTGGGAAAGTGGTAACTAAAAATAGATTTGTTCTACACAACATGACTTTCATTTTAAACAAAGGCCATATCAATACTTTCTTTTTAATTATGACTGAGGATTGAACCTAGAACTTCCATGCACTGGAGTCAAGCACTCTATTACTGAGCAACAACCTCAACCCTTCATTAATGATTTCTGTGTTCAAAAATAAATAAATAAATAAATTTAGGCATGATGGTGAGTCCCTTTAATCTCAGCACTCAGGAGACAGAGGCAGACAGATCTCCATGAGCTTGAGGCCAACCTGGTCTACAGAGTGAATTCTAGGCCAACCAAAGAAGCAGAGTAAGACTCTACCTTTAAAAAGGAGAAAAAAAAAAAACTTCAAATAAAGGGAATGAGACCACCGGGCGTTGGTGTTGCACGCCTTTAATCCCAGCACTCGGGAGGCAGAGACAGGCGGATCTCTGTGAGTTCGAGGCCAGCCTGGTCTCCAGAGCGAGCGCCAGGATAGGCTCCAAAGCTACACAGAGAAACCCTGTCTTGAAAAAAAAAAAATAAAAAAATAAAGGGAATGAGTTCTTGTATGTTGAAAGCACAATTCATGTCGTGACGAAAATGTAACTTTTGTCTTTCATAATCCATTTAAAATTACTCAATTTATTCCCCTTTTCACATTATCTTCCTCAAAAGGTGGTCCAAGATCACAGCATGACTGGCATCAGTCAGAGCTTGGAAGACGTGCAGACTCTCAGGCTCCACCCACGCCCACTGAATCACAACCTCTATTTACAGAAGAGCACAGAGCGACACATGTGTAAAGATCAATGGTGTTTCTGCTTCTATCATTAGCGCATAGCCCTGTCATGAGCTTAGGCCACAGTCACAGATACTATCAAGATATAAATTAGAATCCAGTCTTAGATGGTAACATATCTAACCCTAATTCAGAGATAAGTGTTTGTCCTTTTATCCTGGGAAGGTTCTGTCCCCAGGAAACATGGAGGCTGTGTCTCTCCTCCCTACCAGATACACACATTTCCTCCATCTTTTCTCCTTCTGTTTGCATCTCTATTTCTTTTGTTTCTCACCTTGGCCAAAGGAGGAGGGAGGGAGGTAAAGGAGAGGGTGGGTAAAAGAATAGCAGAATTTTATAATTCTGTTTGGATGGGTGACTTCCTGCTCTCTGAGCTTGGCACATGGCAACCACCAACTCTTCCTGGGGATACTTTTGTGGACATTTTGGCAATTTTTACTTCTGGTAAATACTTTCTTACCGGATGCATCTGTCTTCCAGTAGTTTGTTTGGACATCTTCCCTCAACCCCTAAAAATCAAGACGGAAGTCCGAGTTTTTGGTGCCTTTTCTGCCTGTCCCAGCGCTTTATTGCATAAAAATCAAGACATGCATTTTCTCTCTGCAGTGATCATAGGGTTCCAGGATGCTCCAAGGTGTGGGCTGATTCCCAACGAGGTTTTTCTGCCCTACAGCCATAGCTTACTTCAGCTTCCTAGGACCTAAATCAGATTCACTCCCCACTGTACCTCCCAACTTCAGGGGACATATTTCAGACTTGTGTGGCTGACCCCATGAGCTCTTTTTCATTAGGTTCAAGGAGCAGACAGCCCATTTCCCACTCTTCCTTCACGTGAGGGAGAACTGTGGCAAAAACACAAAACAAAACAAAACCTCTTCATAAATCCTCTCTCCTCCCATATCTCACCCCTACCCTGACTCCTGTGGTTTCAACCATTTCCTCTGAAGATTCTAAAGCGATGAGCTAGCATCAGTGAAATATCACTGTCTACATCCCGTCACAAGTGCAGCTGCTTAATTGTAAAAACTAAAGATAAAACTTTGCTTCCATATTTTATTTGCCTCAGACTCAGCCACCTGAAGAACTGTTGCCAATTGAGGATCTCATATTTTCAATCAAAAGCCAGTTAACTGGGGTGCTTGGGATAGGTGTGCTGGGGATATACAGGATGGAGGAGAGTTAGAAAGAGTTGAAACTCTTGACAAAAAGTTGGGGAGAAAAGGAAACCTTTCTTTAAAGAAGCCTAAGCACTGTTATATCAGGGGTTTCTTTGAAACTGTCCTGTTGGCTTCCCCTTCCCTTTGAGCCCTTCTGAGAGGTAGGGAACCATCCATTGTATTTATTGACTATATTTTATTGCTTTAACCTATTCTCTCTCTTTGGGTCATTTCTCCTTCCAAGCTTGTTTCAAATTCCAGAAACAGAAAAGGCCTGTAGGCAAATTCCCTGTGACATAGGTAATAAGCAGGCTTGGTGGTGGACACCTGTAATTCCAACACTGAAGAGGGAGGAAGAAGCGGGTCGGGGCGTTGGAGGGGAAGCCTGTGTGCATCATACTGAGTTCCAGGCCATTGAGATACAAAGAGAACTACTGTCTCAAAGCAAACAACAAACAAAAAATGTGTGTGTCGGGGGCCAGAGGGAAGATGCTCTAAGACTTCACTGCAGCCCCATTTAAAATAGCAAAAGTTTAGAAACACTCTATCAGTCTACCTATAGTGACTAATGGAAGTTATCTCTCTAGAAAGTGACTTCTAGAATACCATCCCTTTTTGGGTTCCTGTGTACTGAGCACCTCTAATAATTAAAGAATCCATTTACTTGTCTGTTCCTGTAAGATTGCTGTTATTGCCCTCATTTTCAGAATGAAGAAGCTCAGAAGTTCAGGCCTGCACAGCCCTCCCACATAAGACGAGGAAGGTCTACTCAAAGGCAGAGAACATGAAAGATGACAATATGCCAGGAAAATGACAAGGGGCCAGTGTGACAGAGAGTAGGTAGAATGCTGAGAACTTGTACTTCAACCCAGAAGATCTTGTCCAAGCTCTTACACACACAAAAAATGTAAATTTCAAATATGGTGAGGGATAATGGATTTCCATAAAGATGAGAGACTGAGGAAAGGCAGAAGCACAAAGTAAGGCTGAGATGATAATGACAGAACCCTTTTTGTCATTAGATAGGACACTTTTGGGGTCCATGCCTGCTACTATCTGGTATGGAAAGTGGCAGGTTTGAGTTTGAGGTCTAATGATGCCGTCTGGGCAGCCAGGGATATCTGGCTTCTGTTTCCCAGAATTTGTGCTAGAACTGAAACAGAGACAGGATGCAGCTGCCGCTGTCATTCCCTTGGTACAGGCACAGAGAGATCCTAACAGACACCAAAGGGGGTGATCTCAGGCCTTCCCTCCCATGTAAGACTTTGGGGAAAGGACTCAAAGGCTATGTCATGAATAGGACATATAGTTTTCCTGTTCCACACAGGGTTAAGTTGGGCTGTGAGTGATTTTAATTTTTGTGCAAAAGTTTTGTATCCTCCTTACCATCTCCCTTCATCATTAGCTCTAAATGGAGGCACGTGGCAAGATAGAAAACTGTGGTGGTATATTGTTTATGATCTAACAAAGCTTGCCTGGAGATCAGAATGCAAAGCTAGCCACAGCCATAGAAGCTGGGCAGTGGTGGCACACACCTTTAATCCCAGGACTCAGGAGACAGAGGCAGATGGATCTCTGTGAGTTCAAGGCCACTTGGTGCTACATGAGAGTAAATCAGTCTAAAAGAGAAACAGAGCTCATGCCTTTAATCCAAGCACTAGAGAGGTATATAAGATAGGAGAAGGATATTCAGACTTCAGACTTGGTTGTTAGTCTATAGCCACATTGAGGACAGGATCTCCCTAGCCTTGGTAGAGGTAAGAGCTCTCTGATGGCCAGCTGCTTTACTTTTCTGATCTTCAGCTTGAACCCCAATATCTGTCTCTGGGTTTTTATTATTCGTGTTACAGAAAAATGAATGTTGAGGTTGTCAACAAAGATTACTGAAGGAGAAGTTGGTATACTGTCTCTGATCAACTCATTTAATTTTTGTTGTGGTGGTGGTTTCTTTCTTTTTCTTTTTTCTTTTTTGTTGATTTGATTTGTTTCGTTTTTGAGAGAGAGTTTCATTATGTAGCCCTGGCCTGGAACTCATATGCAGACTAGGCTGGCCTTGAACCCATAGAGATCTGCCTGTTTCTGACTCTCTGAGATTTAAGGCAAGCACCTCCACACCCAGAATACTAAAAATTATCATCATCTTCGTCATCATTATTATTGAATGGCCTGAGGTATTTTGATTACTAAACTTCTTGGCACTGATGGTAGCTGCTTCTTATCTAGGTCAGGATGGCCGACACCTTGGGGGAACAAGGTCAGAAGAGAGAGAGAGCCTGGGCACTGGGAAAAAAAAGACTGAGAGTGGGGAGAGGGGTCTTCATTAGAAAGTTGGACATTGTAGCTCAAGTATCTAACACAGGGGTATGAACATTCCTCCTCAGAATTTGGCACTTACCCTCTGACTGCCACAAGGGAACCACCGTGAGTACTCTTGGGTAAGCATACACACACACACACACACACACACACACACACACACACACATTAAATAGTAATCAATAAAAAATGTAAAAGCATGTCGGTTGTGGTTAATTGTTCAGAGGGAAATGGGAACTCTCAAGTTACTGATTATCTTTGGAGCAGAATGAAGAACAGGAGGGTAGAGTTGATATTGGCTCTCAGCCTTCACTGGGAAGCTCAAACGAGAAGGGTATGATCCTGAAATAAAGTCAGGTAGGTAGTGGAATACAATTAGTATGGCCTGCCACTCAGCTGCTCCACAGTGCCTCTGTCTGGTTACATGGGGACAAGGGGTGCCTCTGGGTGAGTCTGGCACAAAATCTCTGACCCTTATAGCCAGAAATGAGAAGCCTTCACTTACATCGTTCCCTAAGTTGAAATCATACGCGGTATTTTGAAGATACATAAACTCATTCATTAGTTAAGAGGATTTTGAAAGTCGTTTTAATATTAGGGAGTTATTTCTTTATGAATAATTACAACTTGACCCTAAAAGTGTTCCAAAGAGCTCATTTAACCTCAATGAATTCCATTACAAACAAAACACTCACCTATGCTAGAATATGTACTTAATTTCTATAAGGTCTAAATTCACTTCCGAGAGCGTAAACTGCCGAATAATAAACAACAGCTGTCTACTTCTTTCCTGGATTATGGAGCAAAGAACAAAACAGAGAGGGTGTTTGTCTTTACAAACTACTCTGCAAGGTCGAAATCTCCTACAATCTAGTAAGGTGGAAATCCACAGCACCACACTTCAGGGGCGTTTCTTTAAAAACCACAGGAGCACGAGGGTACACTAACAGACGTGTCTCTGGTTTGCAAACGAGCTGACGAAGGGAAGATCCAGGAGGAACCATCCTGGAGAGAAGACACTAGCTGTCCACTCCACCCTCCACGACAGCGGTCTCCGGGGTTCCTGGACTCACAGAAACCTGAGAAGTGGGTGTCTCAGGGGTCTCTGTAAACTCTCGAAGGGCCTGTGGGTCCTTTAATCCCAGGACCACGTGGTTCAGAAGCCCTTTGAGCAGCTGCATCTCGCGAAGCAGAAGGTCCACCTTGCGCTGCAGAACTTCGCCGGATTGTTCCACGGACGTGGGCAGAGGCGCACAGACGTGTGGCCCGACAGTGGGGACGTGGCCCGCGGGGAACTGCAGGCCCGCAAAGGTGCTGTTCGGGACGGAAGTGACTGACGGCACGGATCTGGACACCGGGGTCTTCCGGAAGGAAAGTGGCTTGCCCCCTGGCTCCCCGGCTGCAGCCTGTAGGGCCGGCGCAGTGGTGGACGCCAGATCCAGGGCAGAGCCTGCAACGCAACACGCCTGGTCACCGGTGACTGAAATCGTTGTCCCCGGGACGGGAGGTGGCGGGGCTGTGCGTGGAGAACTGAGATGGAAAGGTGGGAATACTGCGAGAGGACCACGGGGTCCAGGAGGCAGAGCATCCGCAGTGCTGAGCTGTCACTCACCCCGCCCGGGGAGCTGCAGCCAGGGGCTACGTTTCCGGACACTTCGACTAGTTGTGGCGGCCTCGCACCAGTACGATTCGAGCTCCTCGACCTCGGGCTCGGGGACGGTGTACTCGGGGCCCCAGTCGAAGCGGCGGACTGGCCGGCTGTACTTGTAGAAGGCGAACTGCAGCGGCGTGTCCCGCTTCTGCGGGTGCAAGCGCGTCTCGCAGCGCAGCACCACGCGACCGCGCGCCTCCTGCGGGCTCAGCGTCCTGAGCACCGGTGTCTGAAACAGCTCTGCGGGGAGGGCGGCCAGGAGGCCCGGATGCTCATTAAATCAGCTCGA